GATAGTGATTTTTATGAAGGTATGTGAGGAGGAGAGGGCTTCTCAGGTGATTCAGTGGTAAAGAATCTTCTTGCCAATGCAGGAGACGCGGGTTCGATCCCTGAGTTGGGAAGATCCTCTGAAGGAGGAAATGGCAACCGGCTCCAGTATCCTTACCAGGAAAACTCCAAAGACAGAGGATCCTGGAAGGCTACAGTCCATGGGATTGCAAAGAGTTGGACACAGCTGAGCAACTGAGCACACACACACACACACACACACACACACACACACGTGAGGGGGAAGCTTCTGTAAATTAGGTGACGTCTGGTAAGGGTTCTCAGAAGTGGCATTTGGACCAAAGTTTGAATGACAAGGAGGAAATCACACAAGGAACAGCAAGTACAAACATCTTAAGGTGAGAACTGTGGAAGAGCATGGCTGAAAAGGGCTTCCCAGGGGCGCTAGTGGTAAAGAACCTGCCTGCCAATGCAGGAGATGCAAGAGACATGGGTTTGATCCCTGGGTTGGGAAGATCCCCTGGAGGAGGAAATGGTAACCCACTCCAGTATTCTTGCCTGGGAAATCACATGGACAGAGGAGCCTGGTGGGCTGTAGTCCACAGGGTCAAAAAAGAGTTGGACACAACTGAATCAACTTAGCTCAGCACAGCATATGGCTGAAAAAGACCCAAATGAACACAGAAATCCTTCAGTTCTTAAGCTAGGGGTGGGGTGGCGGATAAATCGGCAAGCAGGCATTCATTCTATTATTATGTATACTTTTTTCTTATATCTAAGTACTTAATAATGACAGTTCTCTAGAATTATGAGAATAATTGTTTAAATAAAGAACATGACATACATTTATTTGGTTAAATATTTCAACAAAACAAGGAGAGGTAGGGTGTCTCTTTCTAACCAGTTAACAACATGAATTTTACTTTTAGAAGTTGTCATGCTGGAGCTTCCCTGGTGGTCTAGTGGTTAGGAATCCGCCTTGCAACGCAAGGGACACCAGCTGATGCCTAGGCTGGAAAGATCCCACATGTCTCAGGACAACCAAGCCAGAGAGTCGCAACTACCGAGCCCTCACACCTAGAACCTGGCTCCGCAACGAGGGAAGCCTCTGCAGCGAGAAACCCATGCGCTGCAACTAGAGAGCAGCCCTCGCTTGATGCAACTGGAGAAAGCCCAAGTGCAGCACTGAATACCCATTGCAGCCAAAAATAAAAGTAAGTAAGTCTTTAAAAAGAAAGAAAGAAAGAAAGTTCTGGTGCTGAAGTAGGAAACAGATGGGCCTCCGGGCTGGACACCATGATTGTTGAGTGGACTAAAACTGAAGCTTTCTTGTCACCCAGACACTCCAAGGACAAAGCTAGTGACACAAGCTGACCTCTGCTTAAGCGAAGAGACAAGATGACCACTCCTGAGGTCAAGGAAGACTTCCCCATCTAGGCAGGAAGTCTCCTTGGGGGGGTCACAAAGGGAAGGGGCTGCAACCTAAATCAAGTGTGGACGTGCACCCACAGGACGTGCATGATCTTCAGTCACATTCACCTCTTTGGATCTGTGGTGGGATTCATCTTCGTGAAAAGTTGCACATGCATCTTGGGGAGGGTCCTGAGACCACGCAGGTGTGAAGAGAGAAACAAGATAACTGGCCAAATGTAAACGAAGACCAGGAAGGATTGTCCTGTGTGAGGGATTTAAAACACCTCTTTACTGCGCTCCTCCTCGTTCAGGATGCCCCCACACCTCTCTGGGTGTGTATTTCTGCCCTGCTTCTGACTTAAATAAATGAACTGCTTCTCTCTGTGCTCTCCTGTATGTTGTGCTGTGTCGCTGTGTCTGTAATAGTAAACTTTGTACCTGTTTGCAATTTTTGCCTCCTTGAAGCATTTTTGCTTTCAACAGGGTAAGAATTGGGGAACTTTGTTTCTAGCCTCTAGCCCCTGGTGGACTGGTGGCTAGGTTCTATCCCTGGACAGGGAAATAAGATCCTGCTTCAAGATTACTGTCTCTCTGATAAACAGTACACGATATTTTATGATATTTTATTTTCTATTTTATGAGTCAGGATCAAAACAATAAAAATCCTGTGGGGATGCCTTTTACTCTTTCTGTAAACCATTTTAACGAAAAAAAAAGAAAGAAAATAGCAAAGACAGAAGACATTTTCTTTCTTTCATTAGCATTTTTTTTTTTCCATTTTGGAAACTTTAAAATGAAAACATCAGCAGAAAGAATAGTGTAATGACCTCCATCTATAACAAAGGTTTTCAAGGTCAATTCTCAGCCAATTTGTTCCACCTATCCCCCTACCCTCCTGCTTTTTTTCTGGAATATTTTAACAATACTTTAAAAAATATATAGATAAGTGATTGGTATTTGGAAATAGTCTGTGGGTTTTGTTAGTTTGTTTGTTTTGGCCATGCTGTGAGGCTTGTGGGATCCCCCCCAGCCCTCTGCAATGGAAGCACAGAGTCTTAACCACTGAACCACCAGGGAATTCCCTCTGATCTGTGTATTTTTAATGATTACATGAGCTGGAGAAATATGTGTAGAGACTCACATCAGATGCTGAGGCTGGCAGTCTGGCAGTCTAGCGGCGAGGGGGAACGCCATGTCATGGGACATTTAGAAAGTACAAACTGAAGAAACTCTGGAGCAAGAAGGCTCTCTCACAGCACAAACTGGCTAGAAGCAGTCAGATGAGTCACAGAACCACCAGGAGGTGGTTCTTACAACTCACTTGGGAGGGGAAATCTGGGTGAAAGCTCAGAGCCCCCGGAACCTTAGTATTTATGGAAATTCTGCGGGTTCTCATCCAAAATATACAGGAAGACAAAATAAAAACCTAAAGGTGAAAAGGAGAAGAGGATGCCAAGGTAACTCTTAAAATGCAGAGATGGGTGAAAGGGTTGGAGCTGCAGGGACCCATCGTCATGGAAACTGCAGTTGGAAGTGTTGTCATGGAAACCACAGCCAGGACTCCTACCAAGGGTGCTTCAGAACTATTTTTAGATCTACTGGTAATTGTAGGTGGTTCACTGATGGGAGAAGGGCCAGGCAGCTGACTTCTCTTACACACACACACACACATACACATGTGTATATACATACATACAAATATACATTTATAATTACATGTAACTGTATATTATATATGTTGGAGAAGGAAATGGCAACCCACTCCAGTGTTCTTGCCTGGAGAATCCCAGGGACGGCAGAGCCTGGTGGGCTGCTGTCTATGGAGTCGCACAGAGTCGGACACGACTAAAGAGACTTAGCAGTATATTATATATGTAATTACAAATATTTGTAAGTTCATACATATATATATATATATATAACAAATTTAAAATTGTCTCTCAAATATTTTGAAACGCTTAACTCAGAACCTTCTTCTCTGACTGCACCCTGATTGAAACATTTATAGGCATCCATGCAGTGAAGACTTAACAGATCTGGGTCATCCAAACTCTGTACCTTTTATTTTTTTATTTTTTGTGTTTGCCCACACTGCGTGCCATGTGGGATCATAGTTCCCCTACCAGGGACTGAACCTATGCCCCCTGCAGCGGCAGCATGGAATCCTAATGACTGGACCACTAGAGAAGTCCCCAAACCCTGTCCATTTTAAATAACCAACTAGCCCTTCTGTGACTCCTGGGTAACTGCTAAGCCTTACAGGATCCTGTACTAAAATGAAAGTGATGGTCGTGGCCTTGGGCCTTGCAGCATCTCTTAGATTTCTGAAGATACTGAAGGCTGAGTAACTAAGGTCAACAAGTGTGCTCCATGCAAATGGACTCAGGAAAAATACAAAAACCCTGGACACTAAGGCGCAGCCAAGCTTCGCTGGTTAATACTTAGCACGTGTTGTCACACGTTGTTGCTGGGGAAAGTAAGCCTGTATAACTTAACGTATGGGGTAACTTAAAAGTAACTCATATAACTCTCTCCCGGACTCTGCCCTTTTCTTTTTCCTTTGCTGACCTTAAGCAGTATCCTTTTCTTGTAATAAACTATAATTGAGAATAAAGAATCCGCCTGCCAAGTAGGACATGCAGGTTCAATCCCTGGGTGTAGAAGATCCCCTGGAGGAGGGCATGGCAACCCACTCCAGTATTCTTGCCTGGAAAATGCCATGGACAGAGGAGCCTGGCAGGCTACAGTCCATAGGGTCTCAACAGTGTCAGACACGACTTGGCGACTAAACAACACTGCAACCGTGAACACTGTAATTTTTCTGAGTCCCAGGAAAACTCTCAGCAAATCACTGAACCTGGAATCAATGATATTCCTACTATGAAGAAGAGCAAGGAACTCAGAGAGCTCAAATTATTAGTCTAATATCGCACAGTTAGGAAGACTCATTGCTAGCTGTATCAGTGAGGGCCCGACAGGAAACATGGCAACCAAACTGAGTCACCGAGGAGCGTTTAATGATTAATAAAGGTGTTCAAAGCAAACCAAAAGGTGTTGCCTGAAGGCAGGGGGTTGAAGAAACTGGCAAGGAAGTACGAAGCACTATCCCCAGGCTTGGAGGGGAAGGGGGAACTCAAGACATTTCTAGGAACTTCTGGATATTGCAAGAACAAGAAAACGTAGCTGAGAAGGCTCTCAACAAGAACTGTGGCTTTTGTTAGGGAAAGTCAGGGGGCTTGAAGGCGCTCTCTCCTCTCGCCTTACGCTTTCTGACGTCTCCTAGGGGTCCTGTTGGCTAAACCCAACAGGAAGAAGGAGAATAAGAGGGGTAGTTGGCGCAGCCAAGGAAGTCAGCGCCCCCAACCCCCATCCTGGAGGCCCACATTTTGAGTAGAGAAGGGCTGAAAGACTGGGTCAGGAGGGGCAATCGGAGAACATGCAAATCACTGGCTCAGTCAATAGGTCAACAGTAGCGTTCCCAGCAGATCCCCAGGCCCAAATGCGTAACCCACGCGCTCCGAAGCAACCACCGGTTGCCATGGAGACCGCGGGCAGCGCGCGGGAGCAAGTGCGCAAGCGCGCACTGAGATGCCTGTCTCGGCTCAGCGCGGTTGCTGGGGCCCAGCCGAGGCGCCCGGAGTCCTAGCGGAGGCGGAGGCTGGCGTCCCGGGCCTTTCCTCCAGAGCATCCGTGCCGGAGCTGCCCGAGCTGGCACCTGGCCAGCGGCTGCATCCCGGCGGCCTCTCCGTGGCTCGTCTGGCCGTTCAGAGGCGGGGCTGCCGTATCCCTTCCAGGCGGGCCTAGACACAGGCCCCGGGGGAGGGGCTGAGCGCGGTTTTCGGCAGATTCCAGGACACGTGTGAGCACCCGGGGCCCGGTTTGGGGAGGAAGGCCCTGGGAAAGCGCGAGGCCTCTTGCAGGCCCACCGTGGAGGGGGCAGCTGAGAGCTCTGAGCCTGGCGGTGTTTATCGGCTCTCTGACCGCCCTCTCCTGTCACCTTTCAGGATTGCTGCTTAGGAACCGCTGCAGGCGCGGTCCGCCTCGTAGACGCTTCAGCACACCTGGGAATCGAGCCCCGCGGTGTCCACGACCATGGCGGCGAACCTTCTGGAGGACTGGTGCCGGGGGATGGAAGCGGACATCCACAGGTCTCTGTTGGTCACTGGCATCCCAGAGGACTGTGGCCAAGCGGAAATCGAGGAGACCTTGAATGGGGTCCTCTCCCCGCTGGGTCCGTACTCCGTGCTCAACAAGATTTTTTTGAGGGAAGAAAATGCCAAAGCTGCCCTCGTTGAGGTCGGGCAGGGTGTGAATCTGAGGGCCATACCCCGGCAGTTCCCAGGGAGGGGGGGCATCTGGAGAGTGGTCTGTAGGGACCCCACCCAGGATGCTGAAGTCTTAAAAAACCTGAATGAATTCCTGGACGCGGAGGAGCGCACCTTGGAGGATGTGGTGCGCCTGCTTGCACTCAGCAGGGCCCCACCACCCCAGTCCCAGAATCGGTCCCCCGAGAACTGGGCAGAAGCTTTGGGGGTGATTCTGGGGTCTGTGGTGCAAATCATCTACTATATGGATGCTGAAATGCGCAGCCAAGAGGAAGCTAGGGCGCAAGAGCTTGCCGAGGCCCAAGCGGTAGCATCCTTGGCTTCAGCAGCGGGGAGGAAGGTCAACAAGGAGCCAGGAAGGGCTGCAGAGAGGGGCTCTGCCTTGAGGATGGAGAACCCGGATGGCTGGAATGATCTGGCAGATGGGGCTGACGCTCCTCAACTTTTGGTTCGAAAGGCTGGAGCTCTGACTCGCTCCAGGAGAAAGAAGCAGAAAAAAACTCCCAAGCAGGAACCAGTGCCTTGGAAGAAATCCCAAGGCAGCCATTCCCACAGCTCAGCCTCCTTGAAGCATCCTGAAGCTGATGATGGTAAAAATACGGAGATGTTAGAACCTGTCAGGAACAGCAAAAAGCCATGTGTGAAGCAGGAGCAGTCGGCTTTGAAGAAGCCCCCAGTAAAATGTGTCTGGAAGTTTCCCAGCATCCCGCCTCGTGTAGCTGCAAGCTGGGGTGTTGCCTCTGAGTCAGACCAAGATGGTGGTCTGGAGGGCCCCCCGAAGAAGAAGGCCATGGGCTGGGCCTTGGCAAAGAGCCCTGCCCCCATGAGGAAGAAAAAGAAGGGGAGCTTGGGCCCTGTCTCTTATGTCCTTGTCGATTCGGAAGACCCCAAGAAGAAGCCAGAGGTTTCAAAGAAAGGGCCAGGCTCCGGCCGGGGTGCACCGGACCAGAAGGCCCCTGGGGACCCCCAGCCCCATGAGTCACCAACCTCAACCTCACAGGGTCCAGAGGCCAAGCCACAAGGCCCTCCGCATGCCTCTAGTGAGAATGACAACGAAAGTCATTTGGGTTGTGTCAACAAGTGGATGGAGGGGGAGGAGCAGCGGGGGCAGGTGGGGGCACAGGAACCCAAGGGGGCAGAGAGTCAGGTGGTGGGTGAGGACCCCAGTGCAGTGGAGGAAGCAGGTGACCCACCAACTGAGGCCTCAGAGGCCGAGAGCCCTGACCCCCCCTCCTAGGAGCCTCTGAAGGCCCACACTTGGGGATCCCTGTGGAGACAGGAGGTCAGAGCAAACCCACTCACCCATCCCTTGTTGATGAGTGTGTCTCCGTGGTATTCTCCAGTCATCTCTCCCTTCATCTGACCCATCTCCCTCAGTGAGGATGGCGTGTTTGGGGTCCTGTTGTTTGTCAGAGTGGATGGCCTTCAGCCTGGAGTTTTCTGGAGGCCTGGTTGGGAGATTTAATATGTTCAAAGACTTAGAAAGTCTCAGGAAGTGAAAACTCTTTCCCGACACACCCTGCTTCTCCTCTTGAGCTGTTCTGACTTATCCACAGAACATGGGGGAACTATCTGCACCTGAGCAGTTGAAAGAAGACCAAGAAAGAGGCTCCAAGTCGGGAACAAAGTTGCTCTTGTTGACCTTTGATTGTTTTAGGGACTCACTTTGTAGAGATCCGACTTCAGCAGTAAATGGTGTGTAAGGTCTCAGGTGGAAGGAGTTAGGGAGGGAAGCGTAGCCCTGTGCCTTTTTTCCTTGGCCGGGCCTGCTTTTTCACCTCCTCGTAGACACAGTCTCAGAGGATGGAGAGTCACGAGGTAGATTGGAAAAGTTCTAGAACATTCACTGTGACTCACAGTCTGGTTCACTGTTATGGTTGCCTATGTTTGGCCTTTCTCCCCCATTCCCTGCTTCCTTTTCTGGATGGTGAGCCAACCTCTCTCTGCAGGGCCTGGCGAGGTAAAGAGGTCCCTTATATTCTCTCTCTGCTTCAACCTTTGTGTAGGTTAAGTCAAGATCTTCCCTGCAGACTTCACTTCCTCACTCCTACTAGTTTTCAGCGTCCATCCTCCAGTTCTCTATCCAGAAGGTGGTAAGGTCCCTATGCACTTAAGCCTTGAAGTGTTTGGTTTAAGGTTCTGTTAATAAAACTGGTACTTAGATTCCCATTTGGGTGAAACCCTTGCAGGAAACCTGCAGTCAAAAAAGAATGATGGGGAGGGAAGGACTCTGCCATTCCTGGGTCCCCTGGCTCTTCTTCCATCCCATGCCCCCCCCCCCCCCGCCCTGCCAAACTCTCTTTGAGGCTGAAGACCAAATCTCCCATTATAGGAAGAGACAGGAAAATATTCTTTAAAAATTGGCTGATCATTTGTGCCCTCTGAATAGACCAGAATGCCTTGTCTCCTGTGTGTGCAGGAGGAGAGGGAGGGCAAGGTTACCCGAGCTCAATGATTTCCAGACTGTATGCTGGGGAAGCCCAAGGTATGTTCAAAGAAGTTATCCAAATCTACTTTTTCATGTATTTTTTTTTAAAGTGACTATTTGAATGTATCATGAGCCCAACAAGTCACACCAGAGACTATCAAAATATTACCTTGTGTTCATCAGTGTTTTGGTACAAGTATCCATTTTGTTGATTTCACCACCTATTTGCATATAATCTAATTTTCTTGTAAATGTAACTGATAGAAAAGGTTCCGAGTAGAAGTTGGTCCCGAGAATGCCCTGTCATGAAACAAACACTCTGAAAGAAGTTTCCCTTTGTGATCCACATGTTATTGTGCTACTGTGATGCTGTGTTGTTTGATAGCAAAACGTATCAACATGGCGCACAGTAATTCATATTCTATTAGAGTTTTGTGGTCTGTCTTATGACTTAACATTTTTGTGATAAAGGATGTGAATAGTTGTTAGATGTTGTTAGTGATTCAGCAGGTTTCTCATGACAATTCATTTCAAAATTCTGGATGAGTCTGAGAATGCAGGAAAAAAGGAAACGGTTTCCGTTTGCAGCTCTTCATCTGTGTGTATCATAGTTATCCTTGGGTCTGAGCAAAACAAAACATGGGAGTGAATTGGCCTTTCACGCTGTGGCTCTCCAGCTCCAGATTTCAAAATCAGGTCCATTAGGGCTTCACTGTGTTAACAAATTGACACCATGATTAGTAAATGTAAATGTACATGTTATCAAATAAAGTTTAGCAAACCAATTGATTGTTGTGTCTCTTATAGATGCCAGTGGCATGAACTGTTTAATTTGAAGAAGGGGTTCCCCCCACACTGAACGATACACACTGTCCTAAACTCCCAGCCTGGGGTGTGTGTGTGCTAAATTGCTTCAGTTGTATTTAACTCTTTGCAACCCTATGGACTGTAGCCCTCCAGACTCCTCTGTCCATGGGATTCTCCAGGTAAGAATACTAGAGTGTGTTGCCATGCCCTCCTCCAGGGGATCTTCCCAACCCAGGGACTGAACCCCCGTCTCTTACGTCTCCTGCATTGCAGGCCAGTTCTTTACCGCTAGTGCCACGTGGGAAGTCCCAGCGGGAGCTCTTGTCAAATCTGGGTTCAAGCTGGAAGAATCGTCAGTTTTCCATGAGAGGAAGCCATCAAGATATCTGTCCTCATTGCTATATGATCTGCCACCAATGTGAACCCCCCCCCCCGCCCCCAGATCCTGGGGTTTCTAGAAGTTTCTAGAACAGGTAACTGGTGGTGTGGATTATCTGAAAGGGCGAGTTTACTTTTAAAAAGCAGCTAGAAGATGAAAACCCTCTCTTCCCCTCAGACAGAAATTGAGGTTTTTCAGTGAAAAATCAAGTTAAATTTCCTTCTGCCCAAGCCCCTCCCCTGTTAGGGACCCCAGAACCATGGTGACCACTGTACCAGAGTCACGTGATGCCCTGGAGACCAAAGGGAAGCTGGACTCTGAGGACTGGGGAGCTAATTACACCCTGGAGTGCAAGCACAAAGACCCCGGTCAGAGGTTAATTGGGTCCTCGCCTCCGCCCCCAGGGGGAAGCCGGATTTGGTCTTGATCTTTAAGTACCTCCCAGGAGTAGTCACTCCCTCCAGTTAGACCCAATCCACCAGGAAAGGCTGGTAGTGGGGGGAATGTGACCTGAGGTGGGGGAAGACCCAGGGATGGGGCTCCGTTGGGTACAGGGGAAGTCAGGTCTCCAAGGAAGCCTCTCAGACTGCCTCTTGGATGGGGCGGTGTTCTGTTTGTGGTGTACCTTGGAGCAAGGCCCAGCCAGAGGTGCCTCCAGGGCAAGGGGGGTGGGGGGTGGGTGATGCTGAGGAGCAGCTTGCATGCAGCCAGGAGGGACAGAAGGTACAGCTTGGTCATTCATCCATGATTCTGTTTAGCCAAAATTTATTGGTCATCTACCTTGAGACAGCCAGGAACAAGACAGACCCCATGGACTGCAGCACACCAGCCTTTCCTGTCCTTCGCTATCTCCTGGAGTTTGCTT